ATAAATAAAAAATTTTTTTTACTTTGTATTCTCATTTGTCAATATTGATTTGATTTAGAAGCTAGGTTGAAACATCTAAAATTTCAAAATGATTCAAGATTTAAATTAAAAAACAATATATAATATATATATTCTAAAAAATAAAAATTTTTTGTCTCACTTGTCAATATTAGTGTTTTAAAAATAAACATATTAAATGAAAAAGCACCAAAACTGACATTTAAAAAGGTCTTTATTTTATGGGCATGTTTTACATTTGAAAATTCCCTTTAATACTTTCACTTCAAATTTATATACTTTCACAGCAATGTTCCTTTTAGAATTTAGTTAAAGGAATATAAACTGTGTCAAGTAATCTACATTTTATTTAGACATGAATATGTATTGAATACAAAAGCCGCAGTACCAATATCCTAATGCAATGACACAACTGTCCAAAAAAACTTAGTGAACGTTATAATGTTTAAACAGAATTTGTTCGTTACTGACAGAAAAGCGCATCCAGATGACACTACAAGACCTGGATGGTAGGCATTCCTCACAGATGATTTTTCTACCACCTCACACTTATAGCACGAGACAATGCAACAGCATCACTCTCAGAAGTTCATCCCAGTGTTATTGTGGGTTAAGTTCATCAATGCACCGCCTAAGGTTTTCAGTCTTTTCCGGAAAGTGGCCTTCTTTGATTTTCTTACTAATGTAGCGAGTTGTCTCCTCTCGTGCATTCTGGCTAGAGCTGGTAGAGATCTGCAGGATGTTCTTGAGCAGCTCCTGGTTGGCCTCCACAGACAAACCCAGCAGAAAGCGGAGAAAGATATCATAGTTGCTATTCTTGGAGCTTAATGCTTTGTCAACCGCACTCCTGAGTAAGTCTGCCAAGGAAACCTTCATGACTTTGCTCAGCTTGCTCTGCTCAAGGACGTTCTTCCCATGTTTCTTGAAACAATAGAAAACATGAAGAGCAGCAAGGTATTCCTGAAAGGTTGGATGAGCGAAGAAGCTCACCTTCTCTGTGTAAATCACGTACTTCTCTCTGTAAAACTCTGTGCAGAGACCGGTGCAGGCCATGGCAGGGTACGAACCCGGCAATTTAACGTCATCCCAGTGCTCTTTCTCCATCTGAAACTCATTCTTCTCAAGCATCCTGTAGGACAGTTTTGCGAGCTTAATGAGCAGCTGATCAGCAGTAAGATCCTTGGTGTCTTTGGAGGGGTTGTTCTTCAGTTTCTCAACGGACATTAGAGTGTGACCATGGAGCATAATGGTGTACAGGTTGGTAAGAGTTCTGGGCAGCTGTGCTTGAAGAGACTGGAACTGCCGCTGCAAAACTTTAGATGCCACCCAGCAGAACAGTGGCAAGTGGCACATAATAAACAGCGTCTTGGAAGACTTGATGTGAGCAATCACCTTCTCAGCGAGGTCTCGATCTGCGATTGTCTTTCTGAAATAGGCCTCTTTCTGATCATCGGTGAAGCCACGAACCTCCAGAAGCTGGTGGACATGTTCTGGTGGGATCACATCCAGAGCTCCTGCCCTAGAAATGATCCACACATAGGCGTTATAGAGCAGGTTCCCCCTGATGAGGTTGGTCATCAACACTTGCACAGTCGTAGGACTGGTCGCATCACACCAATACTCCGTTCTCCGGAAATTAAAGGAGATTTGGGTGTCATCAAGGCCATCGCATATGAACATTACCAGGCAGCCTTCGAAATCGAGAGTATCTATTTCCTTCATCTCTGGATAGAGGGTGCTGACTAGACTCAGGAGGGTATACTCTCCTTCTAGCATTTTATTCAGCTCCTTGAACTGCAGAGGAATAAGAAAGAAAACATCTGTGTGGACTTTTCCATCCGCCCAGTCGAGGATGAATCGCTGCACTGCAAATGATTTGCCACATCCTGGGACTCCCCTGGCTAACACCGACCTTACGGGCCTTGACCTCACATTCTCCTGGGAAAATATGTCATTTCCGGTTAATGGCGTCCTGTTGACTTTGCCAGTCTCTTCAAGCTCTTGTATCTTTGATCTGAACTCGTGCTCACTGTTGATTGATGCATTAACGCCATCTGTAATGTAAAGGTCTGTATAGACGGACTCAAAGGGGACTGGTTGTCCTTGCTGACTAAAACCCTCATATACCATCTCATACTTTCTCTTCAGAGTCAATTTCAGTTCGTAGCGCACTTCGTCTGTGGAACATCAAAAAGAGAGATTTTTAAGGCAAAGGTTTGAAAGGCGCTGTAATGTTTTGGGGAGGACAAAATAATATATCTTACTTCTTTTGCATAGTCCTAGCAGATATTCAGCCAGCTTCTTAAAGTTCATGATATTAAAGAGTGCCAGCGTGATCTTCAGAGAGATCTCAATATTGCAAAGCTCTAGCATCTTATCCACCAGATCCACAATATCAAGTCCATCCAGCGGATCACGGAAGCGCTCTGGATATCGTTCCCACAGCCGTTTTTTGAAGTACTTTAATTCGTCCTCTGTAAGTTTCTTTAGGCAGCTTGTGAGGGCCTGTGATATAATAAGAATGTTAGTGAAAGGCACTTATTAGAAATATTGTTATTGATTTGAATGAACGACCACTGGTTGTGTAAACCTCACCTTAAATGCAAATTCCACCGTCATTCCTGGATGCCTTTTCTCATTTGGATCTACTATTAACTCTGGTTTTACAGGAGCAGGAACATGTTGTTGTTTCACACCACCTTCCTTCTTGCTCTTCTTCCTTGTGCTTAATTTAAAAAGGAAATAATTTTGTATAATATTTAGATGACAGTAAATGAAAAACTACACTACTGTTCAAAATGTTGGGGTCAGTAAGATTTTTGTATGTTTTTGAAAGAATTATGCTAAGCATTTATTTGATTAAATCTACAGTAAAACAAAAATATTGTGAAATGCTATTACATTTAAGACAACACTTTTCAGTTTTTTAAAAATGTAACATTCCTGTGATGGGAAAGCTGAATTTTCAGCAGCCATTACTACAGAAACCATTCTTATATGCTGATTTATATAATATTTCTTAATGAATGTTTTCTAAAAATGAAAATTATGTATTATATATGATTCTGTACAATTACTATTTTAATGAAAATGTAAGCATCTTACAGTAACTAATTATGTGAATACATTAAATATGGGTGAATATGGTAAAATAATATAGGCCAGGATTAAAATTCAACTACATTCTTTTACAATATGTCATCTGCCCATCAAAGGGTGGTCAACACCCATGACTAACACAGTATTTATTATGACCTCTAAATTGTTTACCGATGTATTGTATGACCATGGTAATAGCTCGGATGCATCATGTAACTTCCACTCACCTTTCTTCAGCATTGCCCTCCATATTGATGTCCTCATCATCACTAATAAACTCTTCACTGCTAGAAGCAGATGAGTCCCGTCTGCACAACTGAACTCTGTAGAAAGTCAATAGTTGATTTACAAGAATGACCCCTTTAGTCACAAGCACACAGAGAGCAAAGGCTTCTTCAATCTTTCAAATAAGTATCATTTTCCCTCTTATAGTATGCTACTAATAAAAGCCTAAATCCTATCTTTAAAATGCTGCTGTATGAAGAACCTACTGACTGCAAAGACAAAATACAATATATAAAACCTGTCCCAGAATATGTCATATAATCTAAAAAAAAAATTAGTTTTGATAATTAGTCGCAAAAATGAAGACAAAGTAAACTTACTGAGTGCAACTGGGTTCATGCTGTTCTCTTGTTTCTGACCAGCTGTCACTCTGCATGGATGCATAACTGTTTGCAGGGGACTCTGCTCTCTCTACGTATTGTCTGGTGAGAACAATCGTTATAAATGAAAGGAAAATAAAAATAAGGTAAAGTAGTTTGACAACGGCATATTCCTGATCTTACCAGCAGGTGTCGCCCTTACACAACAGACGACAAGCATGCATGCATCTGACATGTTCGTCAACATGGCTATTCCTTGCTCATCCCTATTACGATATCAGATTACCGAAAACCATCTTACCCCACAGGACCAGAGAATCCGAGGGTGAATGGAAGTGTCCTCTGAGGAATCACGTCGTCCTCTTCATCCCCATTTTCACTCCCGAAGGCGGAAGCCCCGATTCCTAATGGCAGACTGTTGTCTGACGCCATGTCTACTGCGTCGTTATCCATCTCGGATTTGCAACGTTTTCCCCGCTTGTCAGAAACAGCTAAGCGTTGTTACCCTGATGAAAGCGATACATAAGATATTGCAACATTCATATGCCTTTAATTTGAGCAACCCATGTCTCTTCCTGTGGAAGGAGTGTGCAGTATTGCGTTATGAACGCTAAACATATATATTAGAATAGGGTTTAACCCTTTATAAACCATAAAGTGTTACAGCAATTTGCTGTTCCAGTGATATGCATTGTGAAACAATGGAGCTAGAATGGGAGTGAGTTGTTCAGCAACTGACAGCCAATCATAAACCGCCTCTGTGGTTGCATAATTAAATATTCACGTGCTTTGTACACTCTGTTAATCAGATATCTGTACGCACTGTTTTATTTTTAGCGATTGGAAGAAAAAAATAAAAGTGATGGAAAATGCGTTAATTTTGGTTTTAGAAGACTGTAGGCTCCACAGCAAGAACAGGTTTACATGCCGTCATTTCTGCATAAGTAGGCTAGTTATTAAAACAAGTTATACTGGTTCAGTCAATGTTGTTTGGTCTCATGAACATGCTAACATTAGCCCAAGGTTTACCAATATTTTTACAATATGGGAAAAAAACATTAAACCCGAACACTAGAGAGAAAATAATTATAATGTAGAGAAAAGTCGATATTTGGTCACCTTGTAGACTACAATAAACTTTTTGTACTCTCTTTATAGGACCTTGTATGTAGTCCAGTGAGTTTGCATATACAGTATGCTATTACAAGAGCTTCAGAGAAAGACTGAAGTGTAGCTATAGCGGATGTCTAATGATTTCACCTTTGTTTGTTTCTGTAGCAATGCTCCTGACTTCGCAGTCCTCTCGATTCACGCCTGGCTTCACATACAATTGCGGAAGACGAACAAACAAACCCGGTTGGTTAACTTTAAGTTAACTGTTTAGCATTAATTACTTTTATGACTTATGATTCCTGGGCCCGTAAGCCAATGCAAGACCGTATATACTAAAGTTTAACAGCGAAAATGCATGTAGCAATAGCGCATCAGCAGTATCTGATAAGAACCACTTTCGGTCTGAAGTTGTGGATGTATTTCCTTGTTTTCTTAAAGAGGCAGCAGTAAGAATATTTAGTGACGTAGATTTTGTAGTTGTTAGTAGAGACAGTAGACTAGTAATCTCACCTGCTACCTTTAGTGTCTCTGGGAACAGATAAAGATTTTAGAGCATTGTGTATTGTTACATAGCCTGCAAAAAAAAAAAAAAAGGAAAACCCTGGACTTACCCTATTGACACCACTGTGGTGAAGGACCCCATTTTGAGATTGTGTTGTTTCTATGTTTAACAGGCCTGGAGTCCCACTGTGAATGGCACTGATTTCATATGCTGTAGATTTGTTGTAGTTGTTTAAGCCCCCGAACTCTAGCTGCAGATGGTGAGTCTGAGTCTTAATGGAGCAGCTCTTGAACCTTGATCCCTTCTCCTCCCCTTGTCCCTTAAAAGCCTCTTCTTAATACCCCTGCAGGCTGTAAGGAATCTCAACATCTGTCAGCAATGCACACTCCCCTTATGTTCCCATGAGATGTGAATCAACATAAAGCACTCTGTGAAATACATCTCTGTTCATTTGTTTAGGTAATAATTTATTTTATGTCTTAGATTGATCCATGTGCATTCATTAATTTGTCTGTAAGTTGTTTAGTTAAATTAGTGCTATACATACAGAATATAGATATTTTTCCCAATATAATCACATTTCAGATCTGTATGGAGTCTAATTTTAATCTAATGCTGTAATGTAAACATACGTTAATAAAAAATTAAAGGTACACTCCCCCCCAAAAATTAAAATTACCGGTATGTCATAATTTACAACCTCATGTTGTTCCAAACTTGTATGTCTTTCTTTCTTTCTGAGAAACACACACACACACACACACATGGAAAAAAACAAATATATATTTTGAAGAATGTAACCAAACCATTTGGTGACCATTGACTTCCTTTGTATGGACAAATAAACACTGACATTTTTCAAAATATCTTCTTTTATGTTTGACAGAAGAAAGAAAGTAATTTTGAAACAACAAAAGGGTAAGTAAGTGATGACCGAATTTTCATTATTGGGGTAAACTGTCCCGTTAATGAATGGTTATATAAACCAAACTGACTTGTCTTCACATCACAGGGATTTTTCTTTGTTGAGCACTGTGTTTCTTTAAAGAATAAGGGCTTAATTGGGACATGCTAGTGGCATGAATGTCAGCCGACGGCATTGCATGTTTCCCCTTGAATGATCATGCACAAAGCCTGGACTATAGGTCACTTCAGTTTTGAGGACAGCAGGCATTTAAAACATAAAAATGCATTTTTTATGGAAATTGATATTAAGTAAGATTTTATTCAATTGAATGCATATCTTCATAAAATTATATAAATATTAATAATCATTTAGATTAACTAAATGACGGTCACTTCCGTTTTGATTACAGCAGGCATTTAAAACACCTTAAAATGTTTTTATGGAAATGCCATTAAATAAAGATTTTTAATCATGCATTCAATTATATACATATCTAAAACTACATAAATATGAATTATCATTTAGATGCATGATGGGTTAAAGGGATAGTTCACCCAAAAATAAATATTATTACACCCTCATGTTGTTCCAGAACCATATGACTTTCTTCCATTGAAGACACAAAAAGAGGGGTTAGGGACCGACAGTATCAGTCACCATTCACTTTTGTTGCATCTTATTTGAAAAAAAAATGGAAACGAATAGTGACTGAGACTGTTATTCTGCTCAGCATCTCCTTTTGTGTTCCACAGAAGAAAGATTTTTATTTAAAGGGAATTTCACTATCCCTTTAAGTAAGAAGTAATGATTGATCATTAAAAAAAAAAAATCTTCATCCAAGCATTGAAATAAAAACGTTCCAAATAAACATTTGATTCTGCAAACACAATAAAATAATAGAGTAGTGCCAATGCTATCTGTAAGGGTGTATTTAATACTCTGGTTTGCACACAGCTCAATTATGGAGATGTTTCCGCTGCTTGGCCCTCATGACGGCTCATTTGCCAGAGCCAACGACTGGCAGGAATGGACGAGGCGCGAGTCATACGAGTGTGCGGCTGTGCGCGAGGGGCGCGCGTGCAGACTACTGTTTACTGCTAACAGCTTCAGACGAGGCACACAGCTGTGTGAATTCACCGTTGTCTGTCGTCTATGGCTCGATATACGGGGTGAGGAATTGAGACATTAAAGGCATCGCAACGTGAGTGAAAATGATCGAAAGGAGGATAAAACCTCGCGCGAGAGCAGGAGAAATCTAACGTTATTCTGACAGCTCTCTCACAAAGACCACTGCGAAGGAATGCAGAATAATGCTTTGAACTTGAAAGACCACCAACGCTTCGTTTGCTAGAACCAGAGCAGAATTAGCAGGATACAAACATGCAGCGGGTGAACAACGGGCAGAAATCTGCCTGAGTGGATCCGGAGTGCGCTGAAGAGCTTCTTTCGCACCTTTGTTTGGCAGCGTCTGCAAAAACTTCCACAATGGCTCTGGTCATGGAACCTGTGAGCAGGTGGTCAACAAGCCAGGTGGTCGACTGGATGAAAGGTATTCATTTTACATTCGTTTGTATTTTGCTGTAACAATGGAGAAAATACTGTATATCCAATTAGGATCGCATGTGAAAATTTTTTTGCGTTTATAAAATCCAAATGTTACATGTTTGTTCAGGCTTTGCGTGCATGCAAGATTTAATTGAACTAGTTTTAAAGAAATGTCACTGTTTATCAAGGCGCGACAGTGCGCGCATTCAAGCTGTCAAGCAATTAAGATATAGTCTGTCATATATTGAGCTGATCGCAATGGCTGTTATTGACAGATGTTGATGTCGGCAGTACACGTGAAAGAAAGGTATTCGAATTCGTTTAAAATGATATTAACGAATGAAGTAGGTTGAGTAGTCACGTCATCTCATCAAACAGAATGTAAAGTGACGGGTCACGTGGAGGCTGGGACCCCTCTGGCAGTCAAAGGCTCAATGGCCCCTCCACGGTCACTTAAAGTTCATGAAAATGGGTCTTTTCCTGAACATTGGCTAATGAACACAGTGTTGCTCACACACACAAATGACACACCACTATAATAATGCAAGAAACATATACTGTAACATATACACACCCCTGTGCATAAATGGTAACAAAAATAACAGTTTAAATAATACACAATATAACCAAATAGGTTATTTTAAAATTTGATTGAAGTATGTATTTTACATACAAAATATGCACTGTCAAAATATTTTTTAAGTTATAAAAATAAAACAATTATTTGACTGTTTAACGAGAAAATACATTTTCCTATATTTACTTCAAAATTTCATGTTTATTTCAATGCGTTACTTGCCGTTTACTTAAACAGTTTTTTTTGTGTCACTGTTTACTAGTAATTTCTGAGTGAAAATTGTTTCTACCCCAAATTTTTTCAGTGTATAATGATTAGAGTATTTTATGGTAAAATTACAAATATTGGCCTGTTTATATATTTCCACTATAGCATGTAACCTATGATTACCATTTAGGTTTTTATTGTATGATTTTTATGATATTTTTGGTTTAATTTATTATTATTATTATTTTTTTTACAGTGAAGCTTTTATGTTTAATTAAATGGCAAAAGGTCTAATCCATAATGCAGCTTTTTCTGGCCAAAAAAAGCCAGCTTAAACAGATGAACATGTCAACATGTCATATTTATTTTATTTTATTTTTATGTCCCATTTTCTGTTATATGACAATATTAGAGGGGCATGAAATGCAGTCAAATGATCCCATTACTCGAATTTGGTTATACAACGTTAAACACAGTCATACTCTCCTTTGATTTTGTTCAAGAGGATGTGATTGGGAAACGATCTCATTATGGAACAGGTACATTAGGTCTATTACAGCACTAAATATCTTTGGCATTAGATAAGGTGAAGCCCTTCGAAAAAAAATCATATGGGTGTAATTGGCTGGTTTATTTAGCTCAGGAGTTCTAGATGAAGTGAGAAAAGAGAGGAAGACAGTCATTTGTAATTCAAATGAGGAAAATGTTCCACTTGGCTGAATGTTTTGCCTTTAAGTAATTATGTTTTTGAAAAAGGTAGATCTCATTCCTTTTTTTTTTTGTGTGTGTGTTTTGTTTTGTGTCAGATGGCGTGTGATGTGTTCGAGTGGGTAAATAAGGTGATGGCTTATACGGACCATAATAAACTGTGCTTTAATGTGTTATTCACTTATTTATTTTATACGCAGGAATATGGCTGATGCACATTAGATCACAATAAACACATGTAGTAAATACCTAGAGGTAAGGAACTGTATAAAGTACAAACATCCTTATAGTTGTGCAAATCTAAACAGTTAAGGAAGGATAAGCGAGATGCAGGATGAAAAGGCAGTGTAGGAATCATAAAGAATTATAGCGAGGCGGTGTTACTCCCTAACGGGATGCCAGAGAGGCTTTCTTATGCTGTTTGCACACTAAAAGCATGCTCACAAGTACACACCGTTGCTCTGTAAGTTAACCTCTCCTGAGGGTCACAGAGAATTTTAAGAAGCTTCAGACGTTTTCTTGACGTGGCCAATGCTTTGCTTCTAAAAATCTGGAGAATTGTATTGGCATCTGTCTGTTATGTGTAGAAAGAAACCCCGCAAGCTGCTTTATCAGCTGCTGAGACACAATGACGAGCAGAAGATAATGTGTTTATGTGCGTGTGTATCAGTGTAAGGCTGTAAAGGTGTTAAAGCCCCTATGGGCTGATGGTGTCTGTTTGTATTCGTGTGATCATTAGAGCCTTCTGATCAGCAGCATGCAACAATGCACTCAATGTTTCGCACACAAATACTCAATCCTTGCACAACAAAATAGCGAGTTTACTCAAAAATGGCAATTCTGTCATCATTTGATTGATTTTTTCTGATTCATATACAGTATATTTTGTAATGCATTTGTTGTGCGTTTTGTAAGGCTGGGTGTTTACACAAATTTCATGGTTCGATTTAAATCAAATTCAATTTAATTCAGTTCTGATTGCGATTAAATTTGGTTCCAATCTTGATTAAGTATCGATTCATTTGAATATATATCAGGTGCAGTACATGTCACTTTTTTTTCATGGGAAAAAAATTGATGCGGTCACATTAGTGAAACTTAGGCAGGGCTGGGGAGTAACGGAATGCATGTAACGGCGTTATACGTAATCAGGATACAAAAAAACGGTAACTGTAATTCGTTACAGTTACGTCAAAAAACAAAGTAGGCCTAATTAGATTACAGTTACATTTACTAAAAAATTAGAATATTATCAAGATTGCAATGGTCTTTATTTAAGTAAGGAATAATTGACGACAGGCCATTGAATTATTAAAAAAGAATGATCCGAGGTGGTGATAATAATAATAATGCAGTTATTAATGCAGTTAAATATAGTGAGAGAGAGAGAGAGATTGAGAGTGAGAGAGATTAGGTGAAAGGTTAGGTTTCGAGTAGTCGAAAACTGTGTATTTTAGCAATGTATGAAGCACTTCTTACACAGAAGTCATTTTCAAACCAAGCAGTTTAGTGTTGGTCAGCGCTGCAAATTTGTGTAACCTACTTGAATGTCAGTGAAATCCCCAATTGCACAGATTCCTATTGAAATTAATGGAATTTGCCTGTGAAATTTCACAGAGCATTGATAAATGTGACCGCACCTTAATCCTTTAAACTATAAAGGGAACCCTAGTAAATCTCTATAATATTTCTATAATATTAAAGGTTCAAATTAACACAATTTTTATAGTTATGTTATAATAACTTTTTAATTATATAATTAAGTTTTTTATTCCAATTCATTTTTTTATATATAAACATTTAAATGCTGTCCTAACAACTTGTTTTCATGAGAGTGTTTTTTTAAAACATGCATTACATAAAATTTTCATTTTTGTCATTTTTGGAGCTTAGTAGCATTTGGTCACCATTTACTTTCATTGTATGCAAAAGTGCAGCGTGAACATTCTACAAAAGTTTTCTTTTTGTGTTTTCTGAAAGATTTGAAACGGCATTAGGATGAATAAATGGTGACAAAATTCATAACTATCCTTTAGCAGCATTTATTAAGCTAACACAGCATGTGCAAGCAGCACGCAGTACAGTAAACCTGTGATCAGTGTGCATGGCTATATGCTGCCCACGTAGCCTCACTGAGCCACACACAATGGCACAAATATGTTGACTAGGACTGCAATCATTTTGCTTGTCTGTGTCTCAGGATTATGTGCTGTATTTATGAAAGTGCATCTCTTCAGAACAATCTTTATGTATTTGACTTCTGTCTAGGTCTACAGCATACCTAGGAGCAAAGTAGTGCTGGGCGGTATACCGGTTCATACCGAATACCGGTGTTTATTTTTGTTATGATATCAATTTTTTTTATAAAATACCGTGTATGTCGCTTAAACAACCGGGAGTAACGGAATGCATGTAACGGCGTTATACGTAATCAGGATACAAAAAAACGGTAACTGTAATTCGTTACAGTTACGTCAAAAAACAAAGTAGGCCTAATTAGATTACAGTTACATTTACTAAAAAATTAGAATATTATCAAGATTGCAATGGTCTTTATTTAAGTAAGGAATAATTGACGACAGGCCATTGAATTATTAAAAAAGAATGATCCGAGGTGGTGATAATAATAATAATGCAGTTATTAATGCAGTTAAATATAGTGATAGAGAGAGAGAGATTGAGAGTGAGAGAGATTAGGTGAAAGGTTAGGTTTCGAGTGTATTTTAACTGTGTATTTTAGCAATGTATGAAGCACTTCTTACACAGAAGTCATTTTCAAACCAAGCAGTTTAGTGTTGGTCAGCGCTGCAAATTTGTGTAACCTACTTGAATGCCAGTGAAATCCCCAATTGCACAGATTCCTATTGAAATTAATGGAATTTGCCTGTGAAATTTCACAGAGCATTGATAAATGTGACCGCACCTTAATCCTTTAAACTATAAAGGGAACCCTAGTAAATCTCTATAATATTTCTATAATATTAAAGGTTCAAATTAACACAATTTTTATAGTTATGTTATAATAACTTTTTAATTATATAATTAAGTTTTTTATTCCAATTCATTTTTTTATATATAAACATTTAAATGCTGTCCTAACAACTTGTTTTCATGAGAGTGTTTTTTTAAAACATGCATTACATAAAATTTTCATTTTTGTCATTTTTGGAGCTTAGTAGCATTTGGTCACCATTTACTTTCATTGTATGCAAAAGTGCAGCGTGAACATTCTACAAAAGTTTTCTTTTTGTGTTTTCTGAAAGATTTGAAACGGCATTAGGATGAATAAATGGTGACAAAATTCATAACTATCCTTTAGCAGCATTTATTAAGCTAACACAGCATGTGCAAGCAGCACGCAGTACAGTAAACCTGTGATCAGTGTGCATGGCTATATGCTGCCCACGTAGCCTCACTGAGCCACACACAATGGCACAAATATGTTGACTAGGACTGCAATCATTTTGCTTGTCTGTGTCTCAGGATTATGTGCTGTATTTATGAAAGTGCAT